CACTACAAAAATAGTCCTGTTTTCAACACTTCTGGTGTCTTGTCAAGTGATGGTGGTGATTATGAAATAAAGAGTATTATTTGTTCAACTCTGTATTGAGCACTTTTAAGAATAATGTTTTTGGTTATTGGAATTTTATTCCATCTGTACCAACCCTGTAATTATATACCAAGGAGAAAAATTGCCCAGCCCCAATGACCACTATTGTCCATATTCACCAACCCCCACCTCTCTCAGCGCAATGAGGAAGGTTTTCCACATTGAAAATAAGGAGAGAACAGATACTATACTTTGATCCCAGCTAAAAGGCCAAAATGAATGTAGGAAGGATGTGATAAAAGGTCTTTTTGCGGCGGGGGACTTGCACATGCCAAGAATTAAAACTGCCCAATCTCTACGACCAGTATCATGCTGGCGTCTATATCACACTGACCCCTCCTCTTTTAGTGCAATGAAGAAGGTTCTTCTGCAGGTTTGGAATCCCTGAGACTGGCCCGCGAAAAATGAGAGAACAGATACTACACTTTGATCGCAGTCAAACGGCCGAGAAGAAAGCTTAGATGTGGCACAAGGCCCAAAAGTATGTGGCACCTTGGTTCGAACTCATTCAGTCATAATTGATCTCTAGCGATACAAGCTTGCTAACCATATTTTTACACCACATCGAAGTACCCAAAAAGAATGAAAGATTGTGATGTAACAGTAACTACTACAACATTATTATTGTCACAAACAAAAGATTTGAATTTGATAATTATTGGCTCGGAGAAAATTTGTCAAAAGAACCAAATAATTCTTCATCCAAGAATAATACATATGGGATATTAACAAATGATTTTTTTAAAATTTAATAATAATGTTTAGAAAGTCAACAGGTAAAAGTCGCAACAACAAAAATAAAATAAAAAAAATCATTATTAAAGAAAAAGAAACTGAACAGTGAACACTGAACAGCTTGGTTACCATGACGACAAAGTCTTTTTAAAAAGACATTTTTGAAACACGGGACTAAAATTCTTCTTATTCTAAAATAAAATTACATTAGAAATAAAGGAATATGATAAAAAAAAAGAAGCAAAATACAATAAAATAAAAAATTATGTTTAATTTTCGTATACGAGTATTAAAGAAATTGGAAAAAGAACAAACAAACAAAAACACAATGTGGACATCATTTGTTCAAAATTCTTCGTTTTGTTTTAAATTGTCAATATAACTGAGGTGAAAAGTTAAATTCCAAACTATGGTTTTATAATTGAACTCTTGGGTTTTTTATCTCAATATTTCTGCAAAAATTCATTCTACAGATTTTTTTTAACAATTGAATATTACAACCGTCTTCGTTTAAAAATGAATTATACACCTGAAGAAAAAGAAATTGAGATTTTGTATTAAATCTTCAAATTATTGCTTAAGATTTTTAAATGAAGTAATGTAATTTTTGTTTAATATCTAAATTAAAATCATCAAAGTAAGAAAGAGCTGAGAAAACCGGCTGTTTTTATTATGCTGTGATTTAGAAAAATAAAATAAAAAAAAAAATCCTAAAAATAAATTTCCTTTTTTTTACATTTTTTAGATTATTTGTAGTGATTTTTTAGGAGATTTAAAACAAAAATTATAGCAAAAATGCAAGCTACTCCCAGAGTTTCAACAACCAAAACCATTTATTTATTAATTTTTTTTTCAATAATGAGTCATTTCATTTGCTATTATAATTAAATAATAGCAAATTAAATGACTCATTAAATTTTATTTTTAATTTAATTTAGCCTCTAAATTATTTAGGTCTACCTGATGAGAACTGAACATATGATAAAAGTAAAACATTGAAACGTCTTTTTTTCAACATAAATTTAAAAATAAAATGAGTGTTTTTTGTTGTTTTGAGGGATCATGAAAGAATTAAAGAAATTGTTTCTGTATATTTTGAGTGGAGAAAGCTTTGTGCTTTAATTCTTCCTTTAAAAGCAGTACTTAAGAAAGAATTAGAATTTAAAATTAAAAAAAAGGTTAATTCTTCGTACAGTTTTTGGTGCTTAAACGATGCCAAAAGAAAGACTAAAATTAGAACTATTTTTTTTTATTTCTTTATATTTGGGGTGAGGGTCCGGTCGAATTTTTAGCATAAAATTTGAAGTTACTTTAAAAATGATATTTCATTTTTTCCAGAAGAAACATTTAAAAATTGCAATAAAAATATCAAAGATTTAATCGAAAAATAAGTATTTTTAATTTTAGATCCCCACCGAAACACAAATTTATTTTCTTTTTTAATTAGTCAAAAAAAAAAAAAAAAAAAAAAGAGTACTTAGTGCTAGCCAAATATTTTAATTTTACACAAGTTTGGACAGAACAAAAAAGAAAAAATGTAATAAAAGTACAAAATATAATTTATTTAATTAGTAAAAAGTGAACGAATAACTGCAAAAGTGGGGGATTAGCTTGGAAAGGGTAAGCACTATAAAATAAGCCCTTCATTTTGTGTCCACTTTTGAATTTCCTTTTGATACAAGTTCTTCCTATTTTGCTTCCTTTTGTTTTCGTTTAAATATCAAAATTATCGAATAAAACAGCATATCTGAGATGTAAAACTAGTAAAAAAACGTCTAAAATCATCCTGGAATTGTATCCACTCTTAAAAATAAAGAACACAAGAAATTTGACATTGTTCTTAGTCTTGGAGATCGTAAAACGTACATATATTGTAATGTAAAGTAAAATAATAAGGGAAAATGAAATAATGTAACGTAAAACAGAAATAAAAGAAAATTAGACAAATGAAAAGAAAGTTACCCCCACCCAGGAAAAAAATAAACTAAAAAGACAAATAAATACAATTCCCGAAGATGGTAAAAAAGCACAAGTAAGTAAGAAGAATAAAGAAAGGGATAATTCATTTAACTACCTTTTTCTCTCCTTTTTTGGTCTCTTTCAGTAACTTTGGGCTTCTTTTTACCGTACGTTTCCTGCGAGACAGATTTCTCCTGAAAATTCCCAACAAGCTGCCAAATAATAATAATAACAATACTAGACTACAAATTTTGTTCCCTTTTTTTTCTTCTTCTTTTAGGGGCAAGAGGGGGGAACTATACACACCCTCGCGCACTAGACACCCCCGTAGAATGCAAATAATGCAGTCTCCCTACATCTCTTTTGTGCGTGGGGTGTGTTTTTTGGGGAGATTTTTTTAAGGAGAGAGGGAAGAGAGAAAAAGATTTGGTTTATTGTAAAAAAAAAAAAAACTAAAAAGAAAGAAAGAAAATGGTTCTACCAAGGAGGAGGGTGAATGGCGAAAATATTCTTTGCTCTGACTGCTGCTGTTTGCTTTGGCAACTATTAGAACTACTATATTACTTAGTTCCTCTGCTTAATCTACTATGCATTGGTATTGGTATATTACAGCGTTACTATTCGTTTAGGCTAGTCCCTCTGGTTCGTTAGTAGTATGTTAAAAAACATAGACGAAGGAAACATTTTTTTTTTTATTAACTTCAGTTTGTTGTTAGGAAAAAATGGTAACAGAGAAAGTAATATTTTCGTTTGATATAAAAAAACAAACACTTCTTCTTTTCATAAGTTAATTTTCTACTAAATTAAAAAGTTAAATTAAATTTATAAAACAAAAATTGTCGACTATTCCGAGAATGCCTTCTAGATTCTGGTGAGTTAAAGAAAGTCCCAAACAAGGGAAGAAGAGTGTTTCTCAGAAAGAAACACTTTTTTTCTTAGTTGTTGACCAATATTTTTTTTTTTTTTATCCCATGATGAAACCCTCAGCTGGTTTTGATTTTGAAATATAGTCTTTGAATTATGCATCTATTTTTTTCTTCTTACTTTTTTAAACCGTAACAAAAATATATATTCCGTTGGAGAGGATTCTAAGAAGATACATTTACTACGAATTTAATTTATTTTTTATTTTCCTCTTCAAACTGACGGCTTCGCTTCCCGGACAACGACAGGCATCCTTGCTAATTGTCAATTGAGAAGCCTTACTTTTTTTAATTAAAGTAACATTGTTATTATTTTTTTTCTTGTTATCCTTTTTTAAATATTTGCAATAATAATTTATGGTCATAACGATGTTATTCGTTGTTATTGAAATGGAATAACTGTGGTAATTAAAATTATAAACTTAAATTAGTTAATAAAATTAAATTAATTCTTAAAATTAAATTACAATTATTGCCTCCTTTGCTGTGAATGTTTCGTTTCTTGATTTGAAAAAAAAAATGTCACTAAAAGTTTTTTCCATAATTAAAGTTAGTGACTAAAATTTTATATTTATTTTCTAACGACAAAAAGTTGTAACTTTTATTACATGAAATATTAAATTTGATTTTAATTCATAATTTTCTGTCACTTCACAATTTTTTTCTTAAATCAGATGAATTTTTTTAAAGTAATTTTGTTTTTTTTTCTTGATTTTTTTTTTTTAGTTTTTTTTATATATTGCTTTTTTTTTATTCGGACAAAAAATTTTAACTTTTTCGTTAAAATTTGATGTTTTAAGACTTAACTTTTTTAAATTTAAAAAAAATTATTTTATAATTTCTTTAAAAATTAAAATCGTTATTTTAAAACTTCCCTGTTAATATTTTTTATTCTATTTTAATTATTTTTATGGCAATTTTTTGTTAAGATTCGTTTAAACTTTTAAAAAATGTATTTTCTGCGAAAATGTATTTTTCTGATCACTTCATTTCATTACCGTTATTTTCTTTTAGAAACTGTTCAATGTTCATTTTCGATAAAATATAAGTTTTAAAGAAAGAGCCCTTAAGTGTCAAAGACTCAAAACTTTATCCAATATGAACATCAGATGTTCAATTTCACAATGATTGTAAAGAAACGTACTGCTAAAAATGGATCATGATTTTTTTTGTTACTCATTAAACTACGATAGCCTAAAAGGGGAAAGATGTTTATTTTATCGGGTTAATAACCTAGTGTTAAGATTCAGGCTTGGGAGGTTGAAGTTTTCGTAACACTACCTTGCTGCAGAGAAAAACAATTTATATTTTTTAATTTTATTATTATTTTAGGCTTTCGTACTTTAGAATACGTTTTTTGACTAACGATAAAGCCCTCTATTTACATAAAAAATGTAAGAACGACCCAAAATAAGCTCTAGAAAATTTTCAAGTTAATTTCTCTGAAAAATGAAGTTCATAATTCATTCAATGAACATACATGGATTTACTTTCAAACGTTATAGTAGACACTTTTTATTTGAAATTGACGTCCAATTTGTAACTATTTAAAAACAGTGTGTAATTTCTACTGTGTAATAAATAATAATACGTCAATCGGCCTGTGATCTTGAGAAATCAATGATCGAACCCGCCGCGTTCCCTAAAAACTAAAAAGTGTTTAACATTTGTTGAAGTAATAAAAATGTTGGATTAAAAAATAAATCGAATTGATAATTCTTTAGTTTAGTTTAGAGATATTTAATTTTCTTCAAAAATACAATTAAGGACTTAAGTTTCTGTTTTGTTTAACCAAACCTATGCAATTTTTTATGTAGTCAATATTTTGAATGTACCACATAACGCAACACTCGCAAGTAATCATTTTTAAATAAAATTGTATTTTGAAATTTTTTTTTTCCCCAAAATGCTCCTGGATTCATTCAGACGTAAGAAATGATGTCTGATATTGTTCTAGTTGAAATTAAACCAGAACAAAGTAAATTTTAAAATTTTATTTTACAACTGTGGCGGACTTACATTTTAAATTAGATTAGGAAACCAAACTGAGGTGAAAAAAGGATAAGCCAAAGACATCATTATTACACATAAAATTTGTATTTAACAAGATGTACAAAAGGATGTGAAAGAAAGGCATGCATTGAGTAAAACAAGAGTTGTCTTTCTTTAACTATTATTTGTATTCCAAAGTTCACTGAAATAAAGTAAGTTTGTGATAGTTTCTGGTAATAAATGTTTGCTGTGCAAGGGAAAGATTATGTGAGTGTAAGGTATATTCAGCATGTGAGTGAGAAGATTGGCGCATGGTTTCAACTGTCGTGGATTCGTTTGGCAGCTGAAATCTCACTAATTATCTAAGAATATTTCTTGCTTATATAGGTGATCATCGGCTCCGAATTGCTACGCGGGAAGAATTATTCTTCACGTGCAGACAATCTGACTAGTTGGCATTGACCAATCAGCGAGCAAGTTGGATCCGTTCCTCCCAAAAGTGCACAAAATTGACTACATGAAAATAGGCCGATTATAAAATTGTCGTATTGCTGCGATTTGTAAATTGTTTATTACAAAGTAGTGTTGATTTATTATCCAATGAATCCTTGTCATTGTATGATTTGTATTTGTGTAAGTACGTATGTATGTATGCATGCATGTATGTGTGTGATGTAGATCGTCACAATACCCCTCTGAGATTAAAGAAATTATAACAAAATTATTTAATATATCACGTAGGAACGGTACTTAGAAGGCCAAAGCACCCTCCTACCTGTCTTGGAAAACTGGTTCTGATTGTGAAGTGGGTTGCTGACTTTGATTTGACGATGATGATGATGACGGTCGACAGAAATGGTCGACTGCCCGTTGTATATATGAATGGTAAAATACTTTGGTTGCCGTGAAAGTACTTTAAAAGGTCCTGAGTAATTAGGGGTTAGCGGTTGTGAATTGGGAAATATAGTCCAGCTGTTGGTAATCACGAGGGTTATATTTGTCGCTCTTAGCATGTAAAGCGTAAATAAGAGGTTTGTGATCCGTGAAAACGGTGAAATTGCGTCCTTCCAAAAGATAGCGAAAGTGCTTGATGGCTGTATAAATAGCTAACAGCTCACGCGAAAAAGTGCTGAACTTTTTTTTTTTTGTTTTTGAGGGGGTAGGACTAAGTTCTACAGAGTGGCTTAGTTACCTCACCTGTAATACAGCTCCGATTGCTTCTGAAGAAACGTCGGTCGTAAGAGATAGGTTTGTTTTATCGTCTTCTCGAAGATAAGTAAGCTTGGTGAAATTCGCTAGGGCGACCGTAACTTGATTGAATGCAGTGAGAGCTTCACCATTGAGTGTAATTTTGGCGTTACGTTTCCCCTGGTTACGGAGTTGAATTGTCAGGAGTGCCAGTATGTGTGAACATTTAGGGATAAACTGACGGTAGTAATTGATTAATCCTAAGAATCTGCTAAGCTGTCGAAATGTTGTCGGGAGTGGAAAATCCTGTACTGCTTTTACTTTATCAGCGACGGGTGTAATGCCAGTACCGTCTATCTCATGCCCAAGAAAAACTAGCCTGGGTACTGCGAATACACATTTATTAGGGTTAATTTTAAGACCAAAGTGGTTGAGTCGCTCGAAAATGTGGGTTACATGATCTACGTGTTCGTTCATGTCTTTGCTAGCTATGAGAAGGTCGTCGATGTAGGCAAACGAATGTGGTAATCCACGGAGGGCTTCATCGATTAGCCGCTGAAAAGATTGTGCAGCGTTCCGTAGTCCGAAAGGCACCCGCAAAAACTCGTACAAACTGAAAAGTGTAGTTATTGCCGTTTTATGAATGTCTTCCGGAGCCACCGGGATTTGGTAAAATGCTTTTCGTAGGTCAAGCTTCGTAAATATCTGAGTACATTGAAGCGTTACTGCAAAGCCTGCTAGGTATTTATCCGACACAGATTGTGCGTTAAGACGTCGAATATCTCCACAGGGTCTTCACGCCCCCGATTGTGTCTTAAGTACCATATGGAGTGGGGAAGCGAAGGGGCTGGATGACGGTCATACGATGCCGAGGTCTAACATGTGCTGAAATTTGGCCTTCGCTCGTTTGTATTTATCCGGGCTTAGTCTGCGAGGGGATTAAAAAACAGGAGGTCCGGATGTCTGAATCCTATGTACAGTGTTGTATTTGACGGACTCCGTATAAGTGAAAGGTGTTGTAAGCGCAGGGAATTTATCTAAGACGTGCTGTAGTGGGTTGTTTTCAGGAAGTGAGGCACAGATCTTAAAGGATGTATATGTGGAAATCATACCTGTAAGTGTTAGTTGCGTCGTCTGGTCGATTAGGGTGTGGTTAGACATGTCCACGATGAGCTTGTAGTGGGCTAAGAAGTTGGCTCCGAGGATACGAAATTTGACCTGTGCGACGGTGAACATCCACGGGAACGATCGTCTTAAACCGATGTTGGGTGTGAGAGAGATTTGACCATATGTCTCAATCTTGGTACTGTTTGCTGCACGCAGGGTATATACTGATTTGCCTGTTATGGTGTTAGCTCTGGGTGGGATTCCACTGACTTGGGCTCCAGTGTCCACCAAAAATAGCTCGCCTGAGTTAGTATCCTTAACAAAAAGAAAAAAGAAAAGACGGTTAACTCGATTTCCCCCAACAGCAGATGCCGTCTTCATGCGCTGTTAGGGTCGCCTTTTCCCGCTTGTTTTTTAGTAGTAGATGTTGGTTGACCGTTGAAATGGCAAGGCTTTGCACAATGTCTCGCTGCTTGTCCAAACCTTTGGTGGTACCGGCAAATACCAGTGTTTGGTTTACTTCTGGTGTTCGAGTTAGTTCTGCTATGGTGTCGAGACTCTTATGCGTTGTATGCAGGACGCGAACGCACTCTACTCAGTCGCTCCAATTGCGTGGACAATTTGTCGACCTGCTGCTGCATTTTCTTTAGTGTCTCGTCACGTGGTGAGCTGTCCACCGAGGAAATATAAGTGCTGTTAAAATTTCTTGCCTTCACACGATTTTATCGGCTATTGCAGCCACTCGTAGTAGGTCCAAGTCCTCAGGAAGTGTTGCCATAATCTACGCGGTGTGGGTCGGCAGCTTGTGCAGCCAGAGTTTTCGTAGCAAGGCCTCTGACATGGTGTTGTTACCCAGAAGGTTTTTCATCTTCCGAAGAAGTTGTGTTGGTTTGTTCTGGTCGAGTCGAAGCGTGTTGAACAGGTCGTTGATTCGTCGTTCCTCTGACTTTCCCGTCCTGTATATAATAGCTTCTATCAGAACGTCAAATGGGTTCTCTGTTGGGGCGTTATCTAACAAGTCGGAAACTTCCGATGCGATGTCGGGACGTAGTTTCTCGACTACATAAGCGAAACGAGCGTTCTGTGACTGGATTCTCTTGGCTTAAAATATTGCGCCCAGTTGCGAGAATCAAACGTGAACATTAATCGTGTTGAAGACGGGAAGATTGACCAGGACTGCAGCTCCGTCACTGTCTGGGACTGCCATGTTGAGTTGCATGAATATTCAAACGTGGTGACGAAAATATTTTTGCGCGACAAATAGATATGCTGATTTCGAGATATTTTTCACGATTCTCTTACTAGGTTCACTGGCGAATGAGGTAACAGTGAAATTTTGGTGCCTTCTTTTGCAGGACAAATACAAGCCAACTAATCTTTATGTGGACTTTTATAAAATACCAATGAAATGTGACCTTCTCAGATCACGTCAGCCTTTCCTAATCACGTCGGCGGTCACCAATAAAATGTGGCGGACTTCACCACATTAATTTACTATTAATAAACACTTGTGGGAAGACGCCGTGAACATTATACACACATATACGTACGAACGAACATTCACCAAAATACAAACCCTTTACGTTCACACACATACACAAATGTTAATGATTATGTCGATTGTAAAATTTGCTGTTTAATACATATTTGTTGACATATATATCGTTCTTGTTTGTTTTCTTTATATCTTCGGTTGGACTCAACATGAGTCCGCAATTTTCTTGTAGTTGGACCTTCTATCAGGAATAAACAGCACGTATTCCCTATTCAACAACACTAAGCCCCCCACCCCCACCCACGGTCCGCTACAGGCCGATTAACTCTTGTGGACTTGGCATAGCAGGTCCCAATTGTAAAGGTCAAGGGCTGGTGGGGTTAAGGAATGTAGCTCGTCAAAGCACATGCCATGGAAATAGGGATAAAGCAACGAGAGGCTCGCAATATTTCGTCTATAGGGAAGGCGATTTCCATTCCCTTATAACATATAACTGTAATGCTGCCATTTAATATCACAATGAGGTCGTAAAATCGACAATTTTTTTTCAAATTTCTTTTACATATTATTTCTTTTTAATTATTATTGCATTAGATTACGCACTCCCAATCATGAATATCAAAAGAAAAAAAAATTAAATTTTATAAAAGTTAATTGGGAGTGTCAGTTTACTATATAAATTAATTGTAAATTACCCACCCCATACACACATATACACACCTTACGAATGCCAAAACAAATATGCTCATACAACGTGATTTCTTAGAATGTATAGCAATAAATTTACGGGTGTGGAATTCGTAATCTGAATTTCTTTTTCATATATTACTATCGATTAAGCACTCCAGATTATGAATCTTAAAATTTATTTATTTATTTTTTTTTGCATTCTAAGGAATCATATCGTATGAGCATATTTGTTTTGGTTTCCGTAAGAGGATTAATTTACTTATATAGTCAACTTGACCCAACTATTAACTTTTATAAAATTTAATAATTTTTATTTTATAGATTTTTTACAAGAATCAATTCACCTCTAGCAAAGTGATAATTCTACTAAGACGGATAGGGGGGGGGGGCTACTGGGAGTGAAATGCGTTGAGATACAGTCACTGATTGTGTGCGACGTCTGTCGAACTCTCTGCTTTGGCAAAGGGGAACTTGGACGAAGCTTTGACGAAGGGCAAAGTTTCGTCCGGGGAGGTAGACAGTTCCCGAACCCGCTTATGCGGGTTCAAAGGGAATATATTTTGGCTCAGCCTACGGGCTTGGAGAAACCCGCGTTAAACTCGGCCTTGTGCCACATACATTCCTCGTGGGTGGACTGTTAAATATCGAAATAGAATGAAAAGACTTTAGAAGGAACCGGAAAGCCAATCCTAAAAAGGAAGCAAGTCATAAATACCTGTTCCTGTTCAAAAGACCGGGGAGGGTGTGAACTTGATTGATAGGCGAACCTATCGACTCCTGTTGAGAAAAAGAGAAAATAAAGTAAAAGAAAATTTAAAGCTCAGCATCCCAGTATCTTCAGCGTTTCTCGATATAAAATTGTAACCGACATTTGATGCATTTTGTCCCCACATTTACATATTTAAGACATCGTCGATAAAAACCAGTATTACTATGAAGAAGTCCTTTTGTAGGATGAAACATATCACACTGGAGATTTTTCCCATATTTTGTCATTTAATTATGTACATATATACTGATGTGCATATATTCACACATATAAAGTTTACATATGCACACGCGCAAACACCACACACACACACAATTTACTCACGCTCTATCTCTGATATTGAGCACTTTATCCATAAATATAGCACACCTTAATACTATATTTCTTCATATATATATATATATATATATATATATATATATATATATATATATATATATATATATATATTTACGCATATAAATTTTATACACACACACACATATATATGCATACACAAATATATGTACCTCTATTAGGTCGCGTAAAAAACATCATAGCGTGATGAAAAAAAGGCCCCAAATTCAATAAAAACAACGTTTTGCCATCAAAATGTTTATGTTAGGAAAGACCAAAGAAATTTATTATTATTTTTTTAAATGTTTTTACTCCTGTCTCGCACATTCGAAATTTTGGTTAAAAATCTTGTTCTTTTTTTTTTTTTGTTTTACGACAGCGGCGAACTAGAGAAATTCAAATAATTGTTGGATATTAATGAAACTTTCAGGAAATATTCAGAAATTAATGAAATTATTTTTGAAATTTTTATTTTTAGAAAATCTTGGTAAAATATATATACATTTTTACATATGTTACCACCCACTTACATAATTTCATGAAATTTTGAGAAATTAAAGGCTTAAGTGGAAATTTTTTTATTATTTAAAAACAATGACTTATGGAATCCTCCATACTTGCCTGTCACCCCCTACGAGAAGATGCACTCTTCCCCAAGTTAACCTTTAACCAATCATCACTTCACTTTTCCAAACTCAACTTTCCATTGGTTAAAAGGACATAAAAATGTAGCAAGTTGAGACAAATCCTTTTTTCCCGAGCAGTTGTCTGGAGCCTATTTGAAAACCCAAAAATCTATAAAAAAAAAAAAAAAAAAAAAAAAAAATCGCTCGACTTAATTCAAGTCAGTCGGACACTGAGTTTCGAGAGATGCCAGCAGACTCCACGCGTGCCAACACACTGACTCAATAACACTACCAGCCTCTCATCAACTCAATACAACTCGCACTACTATTGCCACGTAAAGAAACTTAACTTACAATTTACTAAAAAAGTTACATTATCACTACGAAATAGTAATTGTACATTTAATCAACTTTAGCATACCAGTCAAAGGCACACAACTATTCATAACTTGAATCAACACTTACAATTGTCACACACATACACACATATTATTATAACTCACACAATTGATATTTTTCCTTGCAGAAATCAAACTGTTTTAATTTCCCAAACAAACTTAAACCATCAATATTCATTCGTTGTATTGTCTTCATATGTTCGTTTAATTTATTTGTTGTGGAAAAATGCTTACTGTACACGCACATTGTAGGCATTCATACAATTTCACCTTTTGACACATCTTACTTAGCATAAATTCTGCAACAGACTCTCTGGAGAAAGTAAATCATCATTTTTTTTTTGTAAAACGGTTACCGCTTTCATCGAAAATCTGCTCTGAATTGTAAAATAAAAATACAATGAATAAAACTATGGCATTATTTGATTAAAAAAGCTTTTAATTGCTTTTGTAAATAAGGACATTATTTTCTGAAGAAATAAAAATTTTTCGATGATTAATGAATTTTTACAAGAATTTTTTTTACCTTTTAAGAATTCTAATTCTAATAATATAATAGTTCAAAAATCGTTTAAAATTCTTCATTTCTCTCAAGACGGCAGTTTGGTGATATCGTTAAGTAAGCGCAAAGTAAATTTACGAATCGAAATTTGAAAAGCTCATAAAAGTCGTTTGAATCTGAATATTTTAAAAATAACATTTAGTAAAAAAAAACGTTTCTAATTTCTACCTATGGGAATCTATAGATGACATAATCCTTAAAAAGATCACGTGATTCAAGTGTTGTCTGACGCACTGCAATTATTTAATTTTTAATTCAGTTCTGTTTCATCATTAACGTCTTTACAAATCATCCCTTCAAAATATAGAAAAAAAATGTTTTACCTTTCTTAATTGCTATTTCACTAAATATTGTTATTTTATGTATTTATTTTAGTTTGGGTAATACTTCAATTAATTAATTTTATGTTTAAGGTAGTAAACTTGAGAACCTAGAAACGAAATGCAAACTTCATAAAGCTTCTTAAAAACTTAACTAAAAGTCAATAAAATATTAAATAATTGCT